GCAGAAGGAATCAGTTAAGACCCTGATAAACTTACAGCTCTTTGCACTATAAAGACTAAAAAGCGTATTTCTCTATTAACTCGTGCCACATTTTTCTGTCAGCAGTATCACAATACTGTAATGTTAATACTGCACACGCATAGAGTTCTAACTCAGAAAGGGCAAATGACTTCTCTTTCTTATTTTACAGAGACCAGAAAGAAGGTTCTGCTTGCAAACAGGAGAAGGAACATTGAAGGCTTTTCTATAAGTGGTATCAGGAGTGTCTATGGCACATTCCGGCTCTTGTCTCAATGCTAGATGTCATAATGACACAAAGAACAGCTGCATAAGGTTTTACCACCTAATATTGCACAAAGTGATTCATATCAACACACATTTCTTAAACCTAACCCTTCCGGTGGGCTGAGAGAATAGAAGGCAGTCTTCAAACATATCAGAGGGCTGGAGAACAGGCTGAGAGATCTGGGGCTCTTCAGCCTTGAGAAGAGAAGGGTCTGGGAGACCTTATAGTGCCATTTCAGTACCTGAAAGGGCCTACAGAAAAGCTAGGGAGGGACTTTTTGTAAGGGCAGGTAGCAACAGAATGAGTGGAAATGGTTTTAAACTGGAAGAGGGCAGATTTAGACTAGGTATTTGGAATAAATTATTTACTGTGAGGGTGGTGAGACACTGGAACAGGTTGTCCAGTGAGGTTGTGGATGCCCCTCTCCCTGGAGGTGTTCAAGGCCAGGCTGGAGGGGGCTTTGAGCAACTTGGTCTAGAGGGAGGTGTCCCTGCCTGTAGCACAGGGGTTGGAACTAGATGATCATAAAGGTCCCTTCCAATGCAAACCATTCTATGATTCTATAATTCTCAGTGTTTTCCTTGTAGCTTTCAAGAGCTGTTTGTAATAAAGCAATGCCTAGAACCATCTTTCAATGTCACAGGTGTCCCTAGCCTTCCCTAGGAGGGATGAAGAGGCAGAGAGGTTCTGCAACACCAAGGCTGCTCCCCATCACTTAACCTGAGGCACAAACTGCCTCAGCAGCTCCCTTTCACTGCCTCCTCTCCCCGTGGACTTAAGCAAACCTCTTGGACTGTGCATCTGATTCCTGCCAGCAGGAGATGGTCCAAAGGAATGTGCATACTAGGTTGCTGTGCAATGCTCAGAAAAAGCAGCCCCATGTTTCTGTTGCCTTCTGCCCTGTGCAGCCCTTATACCAGTCAAGTCTGGCCAACTGGCACCAAACAGCACACAGCATCTCAGCCCACATGTGCTACAAGCAAAGGAGAAAGGTATTACAAATATGATTAATGGCTTGAAGCATTTCTGATACGAGGAAAGGTTGAGAGATGTGGGTCTGTTCAGCCTGGAGAAGACTGTTCATAAATATCTAAAGTGCAGGAGTCTGCAACATGGCAAGTTCCAAACAAACATGACAAGAAATTCTTTATTGTGAGAGCGACAGAGCAGTGGAATAGGCTGCCCAGAGAGGCTGTGGATTTTCCTTCCCTGGAGATATTCAAAAACTACCTGAACGCTTTCTTGGGCGTTCTGGGTTTCAGTAGGGAACCTGCATTAGCAAGGGAATGGACTAGATGGTCTCCAGACATCCCTTCCAACCCCTATGTGTCTGTGATTTACAGACTGGGCTTCCTGAACGCACAACACTGCTTGAACTGCTGTCTGAGTGAAATGTAGGAGCAGCACAGATCAGAAAGCCACTGCCAGAACTGCAATTGCAGATCCTAGCAACAAAGTAGCCAGACCAAGAATAAGCCCAGCAATGGTACAGTCACAAGAACCTCCATGTATACACAAATGCATGTACACTAGGCAGCAGTAATTGTTCAAGTGCAACTGGACTGAAATACATTTCTGAGGATGTTTCTACGGTAACTTGGTTAAAACTGAGTTAATGCATGCTTTTGCATATCTTATTTTAAATTCAAGATGCAGTCTAAAAATTACCTTTTCATAATCTCAAGTTCTTTTATAACCTCGTTTGTAGGAAATTGTTATAAATGATATCATCTCTTCAATCAAGTCTTACGGTTTCAGTTTCTATGTTGAACATTTTCAGCTATGATTTTAAGAAATGTTAATCACACCTGAAGGTCTTATCTGCTAATCACCTCATGCTGGTACCAATGCTGCTCTGCGTGGTGCCTTGAGACACAGCACTACTCATGAACCAGGCAGCTCCTGCACTAATTTCTAACATCAGGCAAAAAAACAAAACGAATGCATTATTTGTATTCCCAGTAATTACTACAAATATTTTTCTCCCTGGTTATAAAAAAAGATTAGTTTGAGTAACATCACCCCTGCAATGACACATACATACCACTGAAACTTTGCATTAATCACTGCAGGCAAACCATTAATCAGTGCAATGTGGCAACTACACCCCACTCCTCCTCCTCTGCGAAAGAAAAACTATCTTTGGGTGCAACGAACAAGCAGCAAAAATCCCACTTACAGGGCACCAACTTTTCAACATACAACTGTTTGCTCTCACTGGTTTCTAATGCAATGATTAGAAAACTCCCGCAACAACACAGTAAGCCTGCTGTTCCAATACAAACCCTGCTCTGAGTAAAAACACTTACAGAAACACAGAGACAGTACAGTAACGAATTCTGCCTCAGTAGTATCCCCAACACCTGATCCTGTCTAACGCTAAAGCATACATTAATTTTAAGCCTCTAAGTAGCCCATTGACTTCAGCGCAGCGCATCCAGAAGAAGCCTAGAAGATTAGTCAAGCACTTAACACTGTTAGCAGATGTGCAACTCCCTGAATGGCTGGGAGGCCAAAACGAACGCGCTACAGAATGTTAATGGAAAATAATGGAAGCCAGTACACAGGAGGGATCTTTTGCAAAAGAAAGGGTCATGTGACTGAGATCCTTCCAACGATTACTTGAGAGGCATATCATCACTGTGGGGGAAAAAAAGAACAAAAACAAAAAGCAAACAACACAGTATTTACTAAAACTCTGTTGCCTCCACTGTTTGTTTGTTTGTTTAAAGCAGCAGTACTATTTCTGCATGTTTATCATTCCGCACTTACTTGTAAGATTTTCCATTTGTTAGAAAATTAGACACTGAGATTTTTGCCTAAGTTAAAAGCAAATCCCTAGATACAGAGCAACTCAGACTCATGATGTGTGTTCTACTGGGCACCACATTTGGCAAAGTTTGTGCTGTTCTGCAAATGTATTGCCAAGTTCAGATGATCAATCAATGTTCCCTTCCCCACGTTAAGATCCGAAATGCAAACCCAATCATCTGCCCATAGGCTTTTCTTTCACCCAACCCCTTCCATCAGTTACATGCCACTCCTCTCAATAGGTCCTGCAGAGAAGCAGGGAAGTACCTACACAATGCAAGATGCAGCAGGAGTCTACAAAGAGCTTTCATTTAAAAGCAACATAACTTTTACAACACATTTACATTTTACAACACATTTACATAGAAAGCCCCATTATAAGTACATGTATGGCCACGATTTGCCAAATGGCCAAAACCAGCCCAAGTCCACGTTGTGGCTTACGTCTAGTGTAAGACAAACAGCTTCTACCGCTTCTGTAGCACTGAGGCACTTCCGACACATTATGGTGCCCCTTAAAGCACTGTAGAGCAAGTTTTATTCCAAGTAATATCACGGTTAATGTGGCAAAGCCATAAGAGATGCATTCCAAAAAGAAAGACCCAGTACAATACAAACCCCACTGCTAAAGTTAAACGAAGGGAAACAGAGGCTGCGCTCGTTAGAAATCTCCATAACCAAATACTTCTCTCCAAGAACAAAGATAAGAAAAAACAGGGGAATACTGGCAGTGAGTACTCACAGGTGTATAAATTTCATATTGTATTCTTCTCTGTTCTGTTTACAGTGACAGCTCCCTCCACGCCTATTTAGACTCAAACAACTCTTGGTATAGCAAGAAGATGCAAAACTCCCCAAAATACAAAGTCTGACATAACTCTACATCTTCAATTTGCCCTACAAAGAGGGTATTTAATACTTGAGGTCAACAGCACCTGGCAAGAAGTCACACAAATGTAACAGCTGTATAAAACACTTTGAGAAGTTGTTTGAAAAGGGCATAATGAAGACTTGACAACAGGAGTGATCAAACTGTGCTGAGATCTCTGCTTTGGCATCATTCAGTGATGCTGTCTTCATATACATTCTGAACTTCAAAAATGGGGTTACATTAAAAAAAAAAAATTCCAATCCTCCTTCAAGTTTTAAGTAGGGAAAAAAAACAATAACAGTTCTTACAAAAGGAGATAAATCAAAGCTATGTTTTATTATCTGCTCCTTTAACCTGCATTTTTTTTGGCACTTTATAGTGTGATTGTGTCCCATGCCAACAGCCGCTGGATGGGGGGGGTAGGGAGATGGATGACAGAGGGAAGAGGTTTTAACTCTGGTACAAAACTTAAGTACCTGCCTGCTAAACACAGCCCAACTCCTTAATATATCCTATTTATCTCCACATCTATTTATGTCACACGGGAGAACATATGAGCATAGCAGCTGTTACTATAGCAATGAAACTGGAAATTTTGAGAACACAAAAATCCACCACCGAAGGATGCTCGGAGTGGCAGAGATGGCTCAGGGAGCCAGCGGCTCGCTTCTGGGGTCTGCGCGAAGTCCGTGGTTACCGCGGAATTACATCTGGTCGAGCTCCCGAAGGCGCACGCGGAGCCCAAAGAGCGCTACCGATACACAGTTCTCTGTACCCAGAAGTTTCCGCCGAGCGTTCCCAACTCTCCCGATGCCCACACCCGGGGCAGCGCTCTGCGGGAGCTCCCGGCGGCAGCGGCACATCCCTCCCGGAGCCGCGGCCGGGCTCACCCAGCGCCCCGAGCCGCTCGTTCCCCCGCGTCGGGAGACTCAACGCGCCCGAGGACGGGGCCGCGGGCAGCCAGACACCCTGCCCTCACCCACCCCCGCCCCTCTCCGCCCGGCCCCGTCCCCCCGCCCCGCTTACCTGCGAGGGAGCCGGGCCTCTGCAGGGTGGCGGTGGCGTACAGCTCCTGGGAGTGCTTGCTGTACTGCTCGGCAGCGTGAACCAGCCGCTTGGTGGGCGACAGAGTGGCGTAAGTGCCGATGGTGGAGCTTAACTGGTGAATAGGAGAGGAGGAAATGTTAGACTGGACGGTGGGCGGGGAGGTCACTCGGATGGGGGACGGCGACAGTCCCGCCGAGGAGACGACGATGTTGATGGGCGAGCTGGTGCTGTAGGACTTGGCCAGGCGGCTGGGGGACTGCTTCGGGGAGGAGAGGCGCTGCGCGCCGGCGTAGGCGGCGCCCTCGGCGGCGGAGCCGGCCCGCGGCAGCTTGGTGGGGGAGCCGCCGGGCTGCATGGGCAGCGGGGAGCTCACCCGCTGCGCCGGCAGCGTGGAGCTGGCGTAGTAGAGCGCGGCGGCGTGCTGGGGCTCGGGCAGGTGGAAGGCGCTGCCATGGCTGGGCGCGAAGGGCTCCCGCGGCTGCGGGGCGGCGGGCGGCGGCGGCTCCGTGCCGCCCGGCTGGGCGCCGCGGCCCCCCGGGCCCTGCTGCGGGAAGGAAAGGCAGAGGCGTCAGCGGGGCCGCGCGGGGACGAGGAGAGGCGGCGGCGGCTCGCCCGGGCCCCCCCCACCGCGCGCGGCCCGGGGCCGAGAGCCGCGATCCGAGAGCCGCTCGGCGGGAGGTGCCGGGGGGCTCGGGAGCGCGTCCGGCCGGAGCTCACATCGGCGACCCCGGCCCCTCTCGCGGCCCGCCCGGCCGTGCGGGAGCGCAGCGGGGAGGGAGGGGCGGTCCCGCTCCCAAAGCCGGCGGCCGGCTCCCATCCCGGGAGCGGGAGCTGATCAGCGGTTGTTAACTTGCTAACATCCAAACCCGCCGGTCTCCGAGCCCCGCAGCGAGGCAACTCGGCTCTGCCGACAGGCACGCTCGTGTTTCAGATGTTCGCTTGTTTACTTATTTATTTTTTAACTTTTTTCTTATTCCTGATGATGCGGAGGATTTACATGAAACCTTAGAAAGTACTGCAAATCCCGTGAGCTGCAGTTCGAGACTGGCCAGAGCCTCGCCCCAACGCGCACCTCTCAACGAGGCTTCTTGAGCCAGAACTTCCTTTAAAATGCAAATAGTGCATTCTGTGACTCAGCTCGGAGTTGCAGTGAATGCCAACGGCAATGCTGCTTCACATTTAAAGAGAAACGTAGGATTTTTTTAGTCCCGTCCTACAGGGAAAAAAACAAAACAACAACCAAAAGCAAACAACCAAGTAAAACAAAATCACCGCATTCCAGCAATGAAACTTGGATACCCAACCGAGGATTTTGGTGAGGAACTGAGGACGAGACAAAAAAGAAAATAATCAGAAGAATGCAGGTATGAAGCTCAAAATGCCACAAACATGCTTCTTATGCTTCTTTCAGTGTACACCTGCTGGAGATGATTCCATCCTTCGCTTTTTTTTTTTTTTTTTTTTTTTTTTTTTTTTTTTTTTTTTTTTTTTTCTGCCTTTACCTTTGGGATCCCCGGAATTGTTTTAGGGATGGCCAAGAGGCTCCGGAGGAGCTCCCTCTGGCTGTTGGTAGCACTCAAAGCACTCAGGCAGCCAAACTGTGTGGTTTCTGGAGGCTTCTGTTGCACAAGACATCTCTGTATCCTTATGGATAAATCTGATAAAAACCATGCCCATTCTAAAGTATGAGTCCTGAGCGGACATGGGGATGGCCAATGGAAGCAGTCTGTTCATTGCTGAGGCCAGCAGGTAAAAGCAGCGCAGCACAGATACCTGTCTTGTGATTGTTACAAATGGCCAACATCTCCAAGACACTCATTTGAGGGACTCGTGACAAAACCAAGGAATGCAAGCAACTGGGAACATCAAATAACTTGTAAGAGCTGCCTGCATTCTGAACTACTTACAGTCTTGAAAGAAAAAAGAAGGGCTAACCTGAAAGTGACTTCCCAGTAACGTATTTGACAAGAACACATTTCTCATTTTCAAGGCTTAAACTGTACGGCAACATCTTCTATAAAACAAAACCAGGCTGCCAAGATTTAAGACAACATGTACAAAGCAAGGCTCACACATGACAAATGGCTGTTTGAACCAACGACATTATCCACTGCTGCTTGGTAATAGATTTTACTTTTTGAATGGTTAAAATGGACCAACATTATAATTTATTTTCTAATATTCAAAATAGCTCTGAAATACAATAATACAGACTGTTCCCAGTGTGTTCCCTGCAGACTGATAACTTGGTTTTATGGATTTTAGGCAATCCTTGTCAACATGTATGCATTATTTCTTTTTCTAATCTACTTTTACACTGCTTGGCGTGTCAAGGATTTAAAGTAATTAATTTCAAGTAAACCGATATTATCCCATATTCCTAATAAATCTCTATAAAGCTGTAGGCATTTTGTAAGCACTAATTCAAAAACCAGAAATCCCACTCTCTGATTGTCTGTTACAGGGAAAAAGATGTAGCGGCAGACACAAGAATTAAATGCTTAATTAAAAATCCAGTGTGTAGCACTTTGTGGAAAGCCAAGCATTTGCTCCGTGTGAAGGAGAGAACTTTGGATGAACAGATTGCAAGGAAACGTTAGCATGCAGTAATTTTGGAGTTGTGACTAATCTCAGACCTGTCTTACATTTATTGTGAGGTTCTCATTTTTTCTAAAGGATCAAATACATTTGCATTCTCTGGTTGTGTTTTCAGAGGCAAAATGCACTTTCTCCCTGCTTGTAGCTTAAGACAACAACACAGATACGTCATTGTTCCTCCTGCGATCCAACACTGCACTGGAAGAATGAAATACAATGGTATTTGTTCCATTATTTTTCCATTTATCTGTTATTGCTGTCAACCTGATAATGAAACTGTGCTTAAACTAATAAATTGAGAGCAAATTTGCTTTCCAGTAGCTCTATCCTCATGCATTAATCTATTTCATAGATGTGAAAAAAAAAAAAAATCAAGGACTTCTTTCTTACAGCCCTGCAGATATCTCTTCTAATTCTCAGATTTTTTTTTATATCCCCCCAAAAAGATTCTGTTTTGCTTCTTTGGATTCAATGTATGAGTTCCGCTGTATCCTTTTTCACAGCAGAAGTGAAAAAGCATGAGAATATGAACATAAGTATGAAAAATATTTTCTTATTTAATATTGTTAGAAAGATCATTTTCTACTGATGCTGACAAAAGAAGATCTGCAGGCCTCTGTACATAAAATCACTGAGGGTTTCCAGTTAGGTTATGGTAGACTGATGGTCTCACTGATGTTGGGCTGCCAGCATTCATGTTTCAAATACTCTAAGTTTCAGGACACCAGCTTGTTATTTATTTATTTATTTACTAAATTATTCAATTTAAATAAAACATTTAAATCAGATCTTTACCTGAAAAAGATGGAGTGAAAGACAGTGCTATACAAGATTTCTGTTTTATAAAGAAGAACCGAGAGGGACAAATAACTGAATTAGTTATTCTGCTGGAAATTATTCATGGATAAGGAGCTACAAGTTCCTCAATGGTTAAGACAGCTTAAGCAACACTTTGGGGTCAGCTGCTGATTACTAAAAAGTCAGCATGTTGTTTCTTGGAGGCTGCTCCCAGTGGGAAGAAAAGTGTGTGAGACCAGCAAAAAAACTGAACATGAAGTCTCAAAGAATCCAGTGACCAGTATGGATATATTAGCAGATGCAGCAGATGTGTTTTCATCTAAAATCCCTTCCCATTATTTTTTCCTTAAGCATGCCAAAATGCAAATCCAAAACCTGGTAGATTCCATACATCTATACTTCATAGGTGCTAAGGAACAGAATGTCTGTCAATGCGGCTGGCCGAGTCTCAGATATAACTCAAAAGGCTTCAGAGTCATTTCTTGGAAAAGAAATACAATTTCCAAGAACATGCTGGAAGATTTGTGTCATGGTACCAGTTGTCCTTAAGAAACTATGGTTTGTGCTCAATGTTTTCTATACTTCCCTGACCGAGAGCAGAAGAAACTGAAACATTCTGTTACCTTTGTAAGTCTGCATGCCTTTGGATGTACTTGTATCCAGAAGCGTTTTTAGTACTTGGCAGGCTTAGGGATGAATAAACCAGTTTTCAGACTGTTTTTCTCTCTGGAGCTCTCAGGGATTGCTTGGCCCTTACAGTCTCAAACCCCGGCACATCTCTTTGAGGCATAGGTAAATTCAGGAAAAAAATGCTGCAACCGGTGATAATGGACGCCGTCACAGCACGCTGTTGCCTATGAGGAGACCTTTCTGTGGATTCTAGAAAGGACTTTCCAACTGGACTTTGTGGAAGGCATTCCTCTAGGCTGCTGAAACACCACAGCTTTGGCTTCTTGAATATCAGTGGTTGTCGTCAGCTTTAGGCAGTAAACTTGATTGTCCTTATCGGGATTTTTGAGAAACGCTGGTGGTCTATTAAGTGTCCAGCTCTCTTTTATAATCCATGTGATGTTCTGTGCTCTTTCAGTGACTGAAAGTCTTCTCAGTTTATTGAGATTCCTTTTTTGTTTGTTTGTTGCCAGCTCAAAGAACCCCCCCATATGGCTTAACTCAAGGTATCACTCTCTTCTGGTCCAAAACTTCCATCAGCGCTCTTCTGCAAAGGGCAGAAGACATGGAAAATGCTTAACATTCTCCAGTCTTAATGATGCAGACTTCAGTCCTTGGGCAGTACCCGTGGGTGGATCTTTCTTCTCCAGGACTGCTATGATGTCATTTGTAAATTCCTGATCTAACCAGGAAGATACCATCTATGTTCAGATGCACTTCTGTGATAACAGATGCTGACTGAACCTGTGAACCCTTTACCTGTGACCTATTTTATTTTTCTCCCAATTTCATCACAAAGGTCATGAATGATACAAGATCATCTCTACACTGTACTTGCAAAGCATAGTCCAACACTATGAGGAAAACATGTCATCCTACCTGGTCCTATCACAAAGGTTGTAGATATAGATAAATTTCATATAGATGAATTTGGCTAATATCATCACAGTCTTTACATCAAGAAACAGAATTTGTGAGATCCTTTAGGCTGTCCAGAGATGGCCAAGCTCTGATTTTAAAGCAGCACTGCTGGCTGCAATCACTAACTATTGTAGGATCAAACCAGCATCATGCAGGTCATTTTTTTCATTAACAGAAACTATTCTAATGAATTGTTCCCTGGGAACGTTTGTAGTAAGAGTAATCTGTCCTAAGGTTTCATCGCTTCCTTTACTTCTTGTGGTCATGTTTGGAACCCAGTTTTAAATGCCTCATCACTGCCACATCCTACCAGAAGTGAAGTCCTTATTTTAGATTTTGTTTGGACAGAGTTTCAGGTTGCTCATCACCTCACTTGTGGCAGGAATAAATATCTTCTAACTGAGAAGGGCCAGCATACAGTTTTTATTTGGCAACTAAATACATTTTGCTGCTCTTCTGCCTACATTCTAAATAAGACTAGTGAAATGCAGTGGTCTGTTAAATAACTAACTTATGACTTGGTTGGAAGAAAATGGAGACAAGTTCAAAAATCAACTGTTTCAAGGCTTTTTATTTTTTCTTTTTAAATGGTTTTCAAATTCTGTGCCAGCATGTCCAGATGCTTTTGGAGCATGGGATAATAGCACAGTACTGATTAATCTTGCTTGCTGCCTTGGCCTCTGAGAAGAACACATGATCAGCAGACTAAAAAAAAAAAATCTTCATCCAGAAGTGCTAATTTGTTCCACTTCCTTTCCCTTCCCCTTGCAAGTACATGGTAGAACAAGCTGGAAACCACTATTTGCACTCCATGGTGTGTTTTATATTCCTGTAATATCCACAAGGTAAGTTGACCATCCTCAAGATGACAATAAACCCAATTATTTGTTCACAAACTATGTAATGTCCAAAGAGTGTTCACTCACTCATCTGCAAAATCTTTTTTGTCACAAAACCCATTACAGACTCTTTGCAAATACCATTCATTTATCAATATAGGGTGTATCAGGATATGGATTCCAAATTTGAGAAGCTGTTTTCAGCTGAGAAACAGAATAATTTCCTGTTTGAGAAGCAGTTGCTAAGAAATTCTGTTCTTGTAGCATTTAAGAGATAGAAGTTTAATGTTCTATGGTAGTCAAAACAGTAGAAAAACTCTATGATTTATGACATACTCCTCCAAACTGACAAAAATGTTATATTGTACTTTGCAGCTCTATACAGGAAATCCCAAGACTAATTAGTTCCTGTTTTTTATACAATTGCATTTTCAGAAATTGTTCCTGCTGTCACAGCTGGCCTTGGGACTCCGCACATATTTTCCCACACATTCGGTCTATCATTCATGTTCAGAGATAGCTATATTCCTTGCAAGCAAACAACAAAGGAAATTATCATTATCTGAACAATTATGACTCCTGAGACTTACTTTAATTATAATAGGGACAGCAAACCAATTCCAAGGATTGACTTTTTTTCCCCTTAGTTATGGGATCAGCAGTGGTC